CCTTTCACGCACTTAAAATTTCAAAGCAGACATGGAAAGCCACAGTCCTTTAAAAGGATACAAGTGTAGCCTGAGACCCTTCAGCTCTTTTACTCTCCATGGCATTATTTCAAAGTACAGTGTGGATGTGCAGTACATACTTCAGCAGAAAGAATATTTGAATTTCAGTGTGAAATTTCATTGGAAAAGAAAAATCTTGTACATCTCTTACACAAGTAAATTACAGGGATAAATCTGACGATTCTGTAATTACAACTCCATCCACAAAGCTACTATGCAGAAGCCAGTACACAGAACATCACGTTTGTCAAGTAAGAACCTTATTGTTAAAATAAAATGCAGTTTTGCAAGGTTTAAGTCAATAGTACAGGTCTTCATGTGGCTGAGCAGCTTCCAGAACCATGCATATTCACACAACTAACATCTGCTCACAGTGCTCCACGCACCCTCACCTCCCGAAGAGAGGAATTCTGTAGTACTGAAAACACATTTTTTCTAATTTAGCTCACAGAAATGTTTCTAGAAATAAATACCAGAGGTTATATCTGTGCTGAGTGATGGGCTTGTTTCACTGTGTGTCCCAAAGTGCTGCCCTGCCACACTCCCGCAGGCCTGGGATGCACATCCGTATCCAGCTCCTCTGAAGCACTCTTAGGTCTTGGTGCACACAAGCCTTAATCCTTGGTTTCATGATCAGCTCTATGGCAGCAGCTCAGAGCACACCAGCTCCTCAGCTCCAGGAGGAATTAATTTGTTCAACCACCACTTCTCTCAACCAGAGTGCCCTAGAACTATCACTAGGACCCGCTACGCTTGAGTCATTACAAAAGTCTGCATTGAGGGACATCTTTAATTTATATCACTCAGCTGACCACTCAGCTGACTGTTCTGTTTCTCAGCTCAATAACCTGGCCTCAGAAAGAACAAGTACCTATGGCGAAATAGCCTTGTTTTGCCCACTAGGACTTTTACACAACTCGGCAGATTACTGAATAACTTTCTTTTAGTTATTGGCAGGGTGTAGACATGAACTGGCAGAGAGGCCAAAACCTTTTCTCTGAGGTCAAGCTCTTTTTCTTTGCTCTTACACTAATTCAGCATCTCTCAGCATTGGTATCTATCATTTAGCTTAATAAATAAATAAAATAAATATAGCAGGAACAGAAAATATCACTGCATTTACACTCTATGCTCAGACTAGTTTCCCCATGCAAGTCTCTGAAGGTGGATATCAGAGCCACACACAGATCAACAGCAACACATTCATGGCAGACAGAATTTTGAGAGGAAAGTGAGAGAAAAAAAGTCAATATATGAACAAAAAGCATGCAAGAGAAGAGGAACTAAAGCCTCTTATTCTCTCAGAGAGAAGCTGTCTTGCTTTCCCAGAGAAGTATAGAAGATAGATTCTCTGGCAGCAGTTTTCCATCACTAGACATGAACCCTGTGAGGAGATTAAGAGCCTTGGGCAAATCTTAATTTGACCATTGGACAAGAGATTCCTTGCTACCCCTACAACCTAGACCTCCTGGCAATTTATAGGCAACAAGATTAGATGGGTGAGCAGACAAATGGGACACAAACCTAAATGGCATGAACTGATTTATTTAGCTCTGCAGAAGCTAGAGCTGGAGCCCCCTAAACCACTTGGGGATCTGACCTGCTCCAAAAGATGCCTCCATGGGCTGGTGGTTTCTGTTTGTCATGGGGAGAAGCGAATCAGGGATTTAATTTCTCCTGGCTAAGCAGACCTGGTGTGCTCTCTGTGCCCCCGGGCATGCCATGTTCCGCGAATAACCTCTTGCTTTATGAGGCTAAGAAGCAACAGCGATAACCAGAGGAGCTCGAGACATGAGAGCCCTCCCCGTAAACATGCTCCCAGGGACCTGTTTTTCAGCTCCAGGTGATCTGAAGAGCACAGAAAAGCAGCAAACTGCTTTCTCCTGTCAGAGCAGTGTGGAATGTCCCTGATCCCACCCTCCCTGCCACCGATAAAACCCCCAGTGTTTACTATGTTCTCTCCCATGGCCAATATGCAGATTGTTTATGTAGTCAGACAAATTTACATAATGAGTCTGCTCCACTGGTAGTCTTGTTAGAGAGCCCCAAACCCGTTAAGCTAACAGCATTTGTTCGCATCGTTTACAAGGCAGCCCACTGTATCTTGTAATTTCGAATGCATCTTGCATTCAAGAAAAATATACCACATGCAAAATGCCTTGTCCACTTGTTAAACTCTGTTTTGGGGGCACAAACTGCTTCATTTACGCAAATATTATAGTGAAGTGTGCCTGTTTTGCATCTTGCTCCACTCAGTAACCAAAGAGCACAGCTCAGGTATATGGTTGCCTAACCTCTTATGGCACAAAGGAAACTTTTTTTTAATCTTTTTATTCATAAAATTTGATATACTTTTTTTTTTTTTTACTTAAGATTTACATAGGATAGGTTTACCCACCTATCTTCCAGTACTGATCCTCATTTATTTATAAGCATTTCGATGAGTGTTTCATTTCAGTTGTGCCTGAGAAGTTAGCAATTTGGCATTATTTTTTCCCTCACCATCACTCACTCCCTGAAGTAGCAGAAATCAAGGTAGTGCTTATTCTTGACTGTGCAAGCAATGAAACATTGTTATAATGCCATATGGAATCCCAAATCAAAAATGACATTTTAACATTCACAAGTAACAAAAGATGTTGGATACATTTTAATCTCAGGGAAAAGAACAAAGCTGTTGAAGATTTGTCTCATGACTAAACTCAACATGAAAAAGCCTTTTACTGGACAGTGGGTAAAATCCTGACTCTGAGTCAGTAGGAATTTTGTTGTTGATTCACACAGGTGGAAGCTTGTCCCATATATTAATGAAGAAATGAAGCTACAAAATTTGAATGGCCTCCTGCTCTTATTAAAATAAAATCTGAGGAGTTATTCTTGGATTTCTTTTCTCTGAGCTTCATATTTCTTATCCCTGGAGGAATGGGCCAGCAAACTCCATGTGAGTATTTCCTGTTGCTAGCAAAAGCCTGTTGCAGATAACTAAAGAGCAGCAAAATAACACAGGGGATATAAAACCTATTCAGCTCCCTGGAATTATCTCTTTTCACTGCAAGCTCTTTTCTATTTGTAGTTTCCTAAGAAGTCAATACTCAATAAAACTACACTAAGTTTATTTGATGAGACCATATAATAACATGGCTTTATAGGATTTTAATTAATATTTTCATCCTTTCTTTATCAGAGTATCATCATTCACAGATGCTCACAGTGGCTGACATTCATTGAAGATAATGTTGCAATTGCAACATTTTAGAGTCTCTCTAAAAATGTGGTTATTTTCTTCCTGTGACACGTTAAGTATATCAGGTCACCAAGAACTAAAATCACCATGATATAAAATAATTCTTATTATTTCACTTTCTCCGGCAATTCTTGAAGTTCAAATAAGTTAACCGGTTCTGGCAATTTGGAGCATTTCAGAGATCAGCTGTAAGGAAGCACAAGATTTACTCTATCCCTTCAGGTCTAAGATTTTTATTCCTCCTTTGAAAGTCCAGGGAAATGTCAGTCACACACACAGTTACCAGCCTGCGAACGGGGAGATGAGAGCTGCCTTCTTCCAACACTGTGTTAAAGGAAAGCAAAAAGGAAGAGCAGCAACAGTAATTCTACATTTTAACTTTGCTCACAATTTACCTCAAAACACAGGAATTTTGATTAAGTCCTGAACTAACAAATAAAAGTTCTAAAGCTTTGTATTAGAAATCAAAGCATATTTGTTAAGTAAAAGGCACCAAACTTCTGTCTTACGTTTCTCCCCCCCTTGGGGGACAACAGATGAGAAAGGAATTTCAAGGATACGGATGAGGAAACATACGGCTGGCAACACTCAGCATATCAGAATCAAATGCTACATGACTATGCTCAAAAGGCAATTCTCACACTACTCATAAGCATATCAAAACTTCTACTGCACATAAAAAGGTAATTGTTCCTCCTTCTCCCTATGCCGATTGTTTCCTAAAAGGAAATAGCACATTAGCCAGGCATCCCATGGTCTAAATTGCATAATTTGCTCATCTCCCACTCCCTCCAAATGGGATTTTCTCTAATAAAGCCTCACTTTTAAAATGTCCGAGATAGAAAGACCAGATCATACCTGTCATTGCTAGGAAAAAAAAAAAAAATCACTGGCTTTCAGACAGAGGTCCTGATGGATTTGAGAGATGTATACTCATACTGTCCCATCTTTAATTGCTCTTAAATAAAGATTTTAGCATTTTCAAAAAACAACCTGAAGAAATAGTTTTTACTTCCTTGTTTAATTAGGAAAGAGCATTTCAAAACCAAGCTTCCTTTAAAAAAGCAGAAGACTAAATCACTGACTTTAGTATGGAAATCTGCTTAAGTAGACACAGCAGTTGTAAGCATAAAAGACGTGAGATATTTATCAGCGTGAGATCTGGAACTTTAAGAGCCTGATCCAAAGTCCATTCAAGTCAATGAGGAAACTTTCATCAACTCCAGTGTGTTTTGAATCAGGCCCTAAAAACACTATGATGCTAAGAAGCAGCTTTTGCCTTTAATTAGCATATTTATTTGTGCAGTTTTCCCACTACCCCCCCCACCAAAAAAAAAAATAAAAAAAAAAAACAAAACCCACAAACATAATATATGCTCGAAATATTCCTCCTGGTTTTAGTGCAGCAATCCCATTCTAATTAGCTTCTTAAAGCCCAGCCTTAAAATATAGCAGACTTTTAACATTTGTTTGACTCCTAAAGAATCTTTAGAACATAAACCTGCTGAAAGACCATTTTATCTGCACAAACTGTCAGACTTTAAGAACAAATGTGTACTGGAATTAAAACAAATTTCTCAATATTTTAACCACCCCATTTCCTTCATATGTTTTTGTATATAAACCTAGTGGCAATCAATTGCAGAGCTTTGGCAACATTTAAAATAATAAATACTTCATTCAAGATAGCACGTACCTGATTGACACTGAATAGGGTTTCTGCTCTTTATAAGTGTTCTGACAGCACTACATGTCAGCAAGGTTTTCACATGGCAATTCTGGATTTGTTTTCCTTCTTTCCTTTATCTCAGTTTCTAAAGCAGCTGTGCCCACCATCACTTAGTCATCAGATCTGAAATACCAATCTTTCCAAAGCAATGTGATGCCAGCTCATCAGTGCAAGATTACACAGATACTATCAGTGTTTCCTCTCCCTGTGAAGGCAAGACCTAAACAGAAGTTCCTCCTCCTCCTTTCTGACATAACAAGCTCCTGAATTTGTCATTCACTGCAGATAAAGCTCTTATATGACTGAACCATCTTAGAAGCCAAGCATTCTCATATTTAGTACAGAAATACAAATGAATAACTAAGCAGCAAGGCTGGATGAAAACTGAGATTTTAAAAAGCTAAATTAAACTTTTAAAATCTTTTCCAGAGGAAAACCTCGATCTGACTAGCAAATGCTCTGAACTTGCATTGTGCTTACTTTAGGCATTCCGGGCAACATAGTTAATAATAAAAACACTTCTATATTATTTTTAAAGACCAAATATATAAACCAAAGTCCCGGGGTTCTTTTTTCTTTTATTAAACATAAATAAGTACATGCTTTTCCAAACACAGCAAATTACCTAGGAGCCATTTAAGACAATATCTTTATTTTGCCAAATTAATATTTATTAATAAAATTGAGGATGCGCAGAGTCCAATTCTCAGTTATACACTAGGATCACTTTCAAAACACTTACTCATAAAGCATCATGTTATTCATACTTGCATTTTAGGCCCAAAGACACCGCCAAATCCATATAACCGTCTGAAATCTCATCTGAGTTAACAAATCAGACCGTTCTCAACTCATGAAGCCAAAACAGTCCTGCCACCTTTGTGATCAACAGCTTCTCTGCAAGTGCAGCCAGGACCAAGACAAGCTGGTGTTACTATCCACTGAGCCCATCCCATAATCACTTCATGCTAATGCAGATTTTTTTTTCCCCCTCAGCATCAGATTTGCCCTTCTGACTTGTTTCTATGTTCTTTTCCTTGAGCTTCCCCTTTTCTTCTCATTACTATTTTGCAGATCTAAATGCAGCTGCTTTTAATCTGCGCCTAGCAGCTCCCTTCATTCTGGCAGCTAATGCCTTTCGCAGAGCTACAGGGGACTGAAATCCCAACTGCCAGCACTTCTTCCCCATTAGCTCTTGCACAGAGCCAGACCTGTTGCTGAGCTGCCTTCTCCTCAAGCCTGATTCATCCAAGCATCCAAACAGCCCCAACCCACCCGCACCAGCCCCTGCTCCTGGCAGCCTCCTCACTCTCCATACCTGCAGCTTCCCCTCCATGTTTTAGGGACTGCTCTTTAGCCTTGTTCAGGGCTAAACAGGACAGCAACAGAAACTCTACCCCTAACAGGCCGCTTATTTTCCCAAACTGGGTGGCCAAAGCTTGCAAAAGCAAAGAGCACAGAGGGGATGCTACCTCGAGCGCATATGGGGTTCAGAGAGCCCTCAGCAGAAGTCAGGCTTATAAAGGACACCAGCGGGGCCAAAAGCTCCTCGAGGCTGTCTCCTCTCCATGAACCCCAGAGGAAGCCCACAGTGATGCAGACACCGGCTCATTATTTTGGGCAATATACCCAGAAGCTAGAGCAGTTCCTTGTCATTAGCCATTTATAGCGCACCAGGTTTCTGCACAAGAAAATATTCTGAGTTCAACTGCCGTCAATAGCTTCAAAACACATTGAAGAGGCTTATCTAAGAGCTAAGGTACAAGTCCTCCCTTGCAGTCAGGCTGGACAGAGATTATAACAGAGATGCCCCCTTGCAGAAGTGTCTATAAAACACAGGGCTAAGAGGGGAAAGCGGAAGAAGACTCTAATTAGTCTTAGAAGAAACTAATTATTAGGAACAGCATTAAACAGTTACCTGTGAACTGTATCCCTCCTCCCCACTCAGCTGGAAACGACAGGTATTCCAGGTAATATAAGCAAAAACCTTTAATTGAGACAAGTTAAGTTCTTAGTACAAATTTAATGTGTTAGAAAAGCAAACAGAAGGAACTCACACTAGATAAACAACTAGGAACGTGCTGGCATTAGAAAAGAGACAAAGTAGCCGGTTTTCCTTCTCTCTCTTTTATATAAAAAATAATGAATGTTAGTGTTTCCTGAATACAAAATGAGAAATTTAATTAACACATTTTCCTGGTATTTTTTTGGGGGGAGGAGGCAGGAGGGTTTTGCGGAAGGTGGCCAAAGAGGAGTTTCCATGCATAGAAGGGGTGATTAGATCGAACAGCAGCAGCTTGTAACAACCCAGCACCTGTCTGCCAGTTATGAGGAACAACCACAGGAGCCTTGAGCAGGCACAAGACAAATTAAATAAGGCAAAGCTCAGGATAGTAGGCTCCCCTGTATGTAATAAGTACATGAAGAAGAAAACATTGATGTCAATAGATTCGAAAAGAAATTCCCTGAGACGAAGGTGTTGTAGTGAAAGAGTAATCTTAACAGGTTGAAGTCTCATCACTGGATAAACTCTGTACCGTCTCGGACAGGAGGAGTTACCTGCATCACCAAGGATTCACCAAGCACAGAACCTCTTCACAACATCCCACATGCTTCACAGGTGTTTAAGAAAAAAGGACAACACTGAGGAGGAGCAAAGAAAAAACAGCAATACAAAACTGTGGAAGCAATTTTTTGCACAACTCTCATGTTCTTGCAATTACTATATAGCACTCTCCTTAAAGTAGCACTCTCCTTAAAGACATCAGCAGAAAAAGAAGCTACACAATTTTGTTTCAGTATCTCACGTATTCATAAAGGAAAGTTTAAGGAAGAGAAGCAGGCCATACTAAACTTGCAGAAATAAGTATGATTATATCTACAAGGGGCGGTTTTCTTCAAATTCCTGTCTTATCTTGGGCAAAGCTAAAAGGCCACATTCTGCTCATCACCCATGAACATCCAGTGAGTAAAAACCTCTTCACACCCTGCTGTGTTACCCCCACCTTTCCTCCCAGTTCTTTTCTTCTGAAGGAAGGAATTCCTCCCCAAGCCTTGCATGGCTATGGAGTCATTTCCAATCTACCCTACAGTTACACCAGCCCAAACTCCCTTTTGGGATGGTAGCATCAATTGTTCCTCATTTAACCTAGCTATACTTAATTCATTAGCAAAATTTGGAATAAAGAATGGATAGTACTTATTGTGCAAGACCTGGAGAGGGCTATTTTACACACAGCCATGAAGAATCTGCTAAGAAAGCTATCTTAAATACACTGGGAAATTGGTATCAAACACAGCTGTGAAACATGCAATTGCAGATGATAAATGTTTTGAACGACATAACCCCGGCCATACAGCTGCTTATTAGATCTCAACCTAATCATGTAGATGGTTATTACTTCCTTTTTGAAATCATTTTGCATGAGGAAGCAGGCAATGGGAGGCAGAAGAAGAGTTAGGCAAGGTAGAGAAGGGCTGCTAGCTTCAAGCAATCGTTAATGAAGTGGCTTCAGTATGGGAATGAAAGGTAATTTGTCCCACCCACTGCTGCTCAACAGCATTTCAACAGGCATCAAGAGCCATCCTCAACTCAGAGTCTCTTTTACAATATAGCCAATATACTCAAACTGAAATAATCTATTTTTCCCCTCAGCAGACAACTGAATCTACCTGGAAAAGCAAAGTTCAAGATGCAGAAGATTCTGCCAGTGGGAAAACAAGAGAAGAGAGTTATGAAGCCACTTGAAGTGCCTGAAAGATTTCCAAAGTATTTGCAACAATTGAAGCAGCCAGAGTTTATTCTTTAATCAATGTAGACACTTAAAAACAACTTGCCCTTTGAGGAGTCTGTTTAAAAAGAAACAAATCAAACACAAACAATTCACAAAATTTTAGTTTGAAAATAAATAAAAAAAGTTTTCACTTGTGTTATGCCATGAAGCACACAGAGAAAATATTTCTGAATACTTTTAATTCACTGTTTTCAGGAACATACTTCATTTTGCAACAAGTTTTAATTCAAATCTCCTTCAAAAATAGTTTTCAATGGCAGCAGCTATTGGATCAGGCTGGGTACAAATAAGATCCTGCAAGAGAATGGGATGAGAATGACGGAGCCAGCATGGGCTGTCACCCAAACAAGATTAGGGTATTTTCTAGAGTTTGAAGTTTCCCTTTTGCCACCCTGTGCTGATGCCATGTTCCCTTGGCACACCACAGAACTCCCCTCATTCAAGTTTCACTCTGCCTCTTCCCATTCCCAAACCATGTCCCATCTTTACTTTTCTAGCTGATGGATCCATGCTCTCAACAGAAGCACCCGTCTTCCTAACTCTCTCCCCCCCATAACCCAGAGAATTGATTTGGGTTAAAATTCACACAGTTGGGAATAAACAAAAAACAAATTTAAAAAATGTTCTCAAGCAAATCCTAAGAAAACAAAAATTCTAATCTGTAACCAAGGGTATCAACAAGCATAATTACCTGTGTGACTGGCTGGGGCCTCTGTTCAACTCTGCCCTGTCTCCTGCCTCTCAGCTAAAAGGACCAGACTGGGAGCCCTTGCTAGAGGTGGAGGATAGCAGTGGGGAAGGAGATCAGCAACAGGAAAGAAAATGGACCACTCTGCTTTAAAGAGGTCACCAACACTACAGAGTTCAGTACTTTTTCTCCTGCAGTTGCCCATTCCCTATGTTGCTTAATTCCATATGGTTGGAGACTAGTCAGTCCAGCAGCCTCTTTCTTGCCTTCATTCCTGGAGTGCAGTTTGAAGACAGGAAGGAATAGGAGGCCCAGCAGAGCATTAGCAAGTCAAGTGCAGAAGATACACAGCCCCAAGCCAGGACTGTCCTGCGAGCTCAGTTCCAGGACTCCTGACTACTGTGCACCTGATGTTTCTAACCTAAGTGCTCATTAAACAATTTTCTTGTAAAAATTCATGGTCAACCCACGTTTTTAAGCCCGTGCTTTTATACTGCCTGGGGCCTGCAGTCACTTCCCTTTACCCAAGTCATATTGTTTACTTGCAGAATACTCACAAAACAGTTTCTCTGATCAGAGTAGCAATCATCAGAATAGTTCTTTTTACTCTTCTCGAAATATTCTGCACAAAAAGCTCCAAGCAATTTTAGCTTTTCTCTCGAGCTCA